TCGTTCTCTTTCTCTCTGTGTGTGAGTCTGTGTGTGTGTGTGTGTGTGTGTGTGTGTGTGTGTGTGTGTCAGTGGTGGGTTTCAAAAAATTTTTGAACCTCTTCTGTAGGTGTGGCCTGCTTTCTGGTGGAACCTCTTCTAACCAGTTCGGTAGATTTGACGAACCGGTTCTACCAAACTGGTGCGAACTGGTAGGAACCCACCTCTGATTTACACATGATAATATATAAATCATACTTGATAAATAACCATGTTTGCGCACATGCAATATTCGAAAGTGAAACAAAAATGTTAACCATCTTAACACTGATAGTGGGCGCTGAACAGCTATAGTTGAATTATTAATGAAAGCTTCTCTTAGTATGTCTAGTTGCAATCCATGAGGCCATTGTGAATATTGCATGATTCAAGCCATACCAGTTGAATAATTGATATGTAATAGTTTATGGATGAGAGCAAATGGTTAGTTCCTTCTGAACAAGCCTTTAACATGATTACTTTTTTATTTTTTAGAGAATTTCTCTCTGAGGAACGCAACATGGAATTAGTATTGATTAAAGCTTTTCTAGAAATAGACAAAGCATACATGAAACACGCCCACTTATCTGCAGATGGTAAGTACGAAATGTTTTTATGTCTGTTGGTAACACAAAAACTAAATTTACTCCTCTAGCAGCCAGCAATACTGAAGCTTCAGTAGATGACCCAGGGGAGAAATTGCAACTTAAATTTTAAGGATTTGCTATATCAAAATCCGTAGTAAATCACGAAATCTATCGGAGTCGGTGGACCACAAAACATTTTGAGAGAGAGAATAAAATTTCAAAATGAAATTGGTATGTGCTTTAAGACCATGTTTTCTCAAAGTTGATTCCAAATATTTATTTGGAAATCACCATTGAGAAGTTTTCAGTATATACTTTCATTAAGTTTAAGTTGTTGAACAAATCTGGCTTTCCCCCCATTGACTTTGATTGTCTCTGGCTGAGAAGTTGCAGATGGTGTTCACTTGACCACAGATACCGCAACTATTGTGAATACACACCAATTGCGAAGCACTCAAATTTTGATCACATAACCATGAGGATGCTGAGATTTGGCTGTAAGTGTGAGGAGCAGTCAAAAGTCACGTTTTTCAGTGCCATTATAACTTTGAACAGTTGCTAAATGAATTGATGTAAATCAAGGACAACCTGTACAGTATATATAGTGTGGATGTAGGAACAGTTTTTGTTTCATTTCCTGGCATACAGTCACGTGAAAAAGAAACTACACCCTCTTTGAGATCTACGGTTTTACATGGCAAGAGATAGTTTAAAAAATCATCTGGTTCTTAGCATTCTTCAAAAGTTTTTCTCCATTTTGGCTTTCTTTTTGTAAAATAAATGAGGACATGGTGTAAAACAGTTGTAGTCAACCTGGTCCCTACCGCCCACTAGTGGGCGTTCCAGCTTTCATGGTGGGCGGTAGGGGTTTTGTCCGATACTGAAGCACTTTCCTTTTTTAAAATTTAATTGACTTTTAAAAAAAAAATGTCATAGCG